GTGATTCAATCAGCAATTATTTCGTCCGCATTCCCCAAAAGTATTTATTTTTAACGAGTGTCGGGCGTGCGCCTTTGTAATTTATGGTTAATTAGGCGCCGCTTAATATTACAGGGCCGTAATAAAAAAGGCGTTACGCAAGAGCGAGATCTCTTTTCTTCTTCTTCTTCTGTTTTTTTTTTTTTTTTCTTTTAACGTATTGTGTCACGCGTACGCGTCAATTATCGCGTGGTTGTGCCCGATCTGGCTACAGGGATTGTTATTGTTTGGGCACGTTGGCACGTTTACGCGGCACATACGTGGCGGGGTTTTTGATTTATGGAAAAGTCACGACGTAACGTCGACGTTTATATCGGCAGATATTTATCGGTCGCCCCTTTCGTTTACACTGGTTTAATCGAATCGATCGGCCGCCTCGTTCATTAATCAATTTTGAGGGCCGCTCCGCGCCCAGTCGGCCACCCATCGTGCTGAAGTCTTCATAAATCGTGCCGCGTAAAAAGCTATAGATGCCGTACACTTCGGCGCGAATTTTACGCGGCAGTATCTCTGCCGGAGCATCTTTCTATTTTTATTATAAATACCGCGCATTTCGCGTTAAAATTTCATCGAAAACGAGAAATAATTCTAGGGAATTCTAGGGAGACGTATGATTCTCATGGATAAACAGAGAAAAAAGGTCTCGTTAAAGTAGTGCTTCCGAGAGAAAGGAATACTTCTCTTGGACGAGCTTATTTCAAATTTGACGAAAAATTGGACAAGAAGAGACGACCTCGGGTTAAAGAGAAACGTTATTATATTCGGAGAGAGAAAAAAAAAAAAGAGAGAAAGAGGGTTACGAGCCATCACGCGAATATAATTGTAATTTCTATGACTTTTTTTAACTACCGAGAGTGTTGTTCTCGTGTTTTCCACATTTTTTTTCCCGCACTGCACGCAGCCGGATCAATTTTAAAGGAGCAACATGTGCGCAACAAATTCGTTTCTACCCTCCGCGAACGTAGGGCGTCCAACGGGAACAACGCGTGTCGATAACCGGGAACGATACCGTACCTACATACGTACCTACATTCGTTTGCATTCGGCACAACGGCTCGAAAAACAAGCAGCGCACTCTCGCAGCCCGCGCTCACGCATTGTGCACCGGGTTCGAAGTGCGTAACGGTTAATGTGTGCCGGTGACAGATTTTAAAAGCTCCAAGCTCAAAAGCTCAAAACGCGTTGATGCGTCGATAGCGCTTGCTCTGTCCCTGCATAGTCGCAAAACCGGGAGGAACATTTTGTTTCTCGCGCCCTTTCTCT